TAATATAATATAATATAATTATATATCAGCGCGCGTGTACATACGCGTACGTGTACGTGTGTGCATGCGCATGAATGTATGTAATCAATATTATTTTCTGTGTATGCAAAGTTGTATATATGGTAAAGCCAAAGTTGCAAACGTCAAATGGAGATATAGGAACATAATCAGGTAGTATTTCTTTTCTATATGTCCGGTATGTAATCTTCGCACTGTCGGGCTGCACTAGTGTGCCAATGCATTTTAAAACATATCATAAATATCCGTGCATGCACGTATGTAACTAACTAATGATACATGCAGGCACGTATGGACAAACCAATAAATGGTCACACATGCACAGATAGAACTACCCGAATGCGTGCATGCGCAGTTTCATGAACACCCACATAGCAAGGCAAGGCAACGCAACTACCTGAAGCAGCTGCTTTCCCAGACAACGACCCGAAATGCAGCAATTTCGATAGCAAATGATACTGTAGTGTGATAAAGGACTGCCTCACTCTCACTGCTATTACCACTCATCTTGACCAACTTCTTCCAAACTTCCCGACGCCGATCCATATGTCGAGATGCTTTGCGTCAGGCTCGTGTTCACATCTAGATCTGTACGTCTTCTGTCTGTCAGGTAGACCCCAGCAGGTCCAAACAAGTACCGATCGCCATACCATGAAGCTCGTTTGCCACGTAACTCACCCAACCATTGGTATCCCGCAGCAACCCGTATGTGGTAATAGCCTGCAGGCAGTTGGGCTGCTTGTGCGTCGCCGGGCCAGCAAAAGATCTCAGCCTCGGCGGTAGGACCAGCCGCCTCCGCATCTGTAGCTTTGCAAATTTTGACAAACATCGCCATGCCATCAGGATTGCAATTCTTGACGATAATGCGGGATGAGCTACCGGGTTTCTCCCGCCGCAGCACTCCGGATTGGAGCCACCCTAGGGGTCTTGGTGCCTCATGGTTCAGCAGTGCCTGCAATCGGTTGCTTGGAACCTTGCTCTGAAGGCCAGCGTGGTTGTCCAATTCCACGGTGTACCAGCTTGGGAAACCAGGAGCTGAGACGTTAATGAGTGTGTCTCCATCGCGGATAGTAAGCTCCCAGTCAAGGATCTCCCCAACAGCAAGCTTTTCCTTCTTGTTTGTCTTGGAGAAAGGCTGGGTGTAATTTGTCGAGCCCGGAGTGACCTTGAATTTCACAAGATGGACAAACTTGGATGGGTCTTCTTGGTCAGGTTCTGTTTGGACATCTTGTTCAAGAGGGGAGACAAAGGCAGTCCTGCATCTTCACCTTTCCCCCTTCAATGACTCTGACACGAACAATGTTGCTCTTTTTCTTTATGGTGCAAGGCCAAAGAACGTGAGCTGTGGATTTTATTCGTGTTTGTGAAAATGGAAATAACGAAATCCTTCCGCAGGACCCTTCCGCATGCTTCCGCGCGCGAGGGTTTCGCTTCCGCGCGCCTCAGCATTCATGTCGCTTCCGCGGATCCCTTCCGCAACGGTTGTTTCGCAGAGTTTGCAGGGCTTGCTTCCGCAAGTGCGGGCTGGAGTCTTGAGGAGGCTTTTTGTTCAGGCAAACCTATCGTGTAGCTTCAATTTTGCTTCAGCCACCAACAAAGGATGCAAGCTTACATGAAGCACGCGAAGACAGAAGCAAATCTGAAGAGGCTTATAGGTGGCTTTCGGCTTCTTCGGCTTTTAAACCACGTCGTGGTCACCTGAGATGTCACAAGCAAGGCATGCTCTTTCATCTATGTTCCAATCCTCTGGCCCTTGTCCGCACATTTCTTGTCGAGAGTCTTCTCCAACTCTGGTCGATTTGGTTTGGTGGTGTCAAGGCCGCAGGCCTTCAGTGACTCCCGCTTCGAGAGTTCGGACTTCAACTCGATCTTTTTGCGGATCAACTCGTTGACTTTCTCCTCTGCCATCTCATGGACTCTTTCAAGATAGTGAGTGGGTGCGGATGATATCCATGCAGAGAAGTCAGAAGAGTTCATCAAGATGTCAATCTTGTCAATACTGCCACTGATCAGGTCCGGAGTGCCAGACTGCGCCTGATATCCACCATTGCCCATACTGCCCTGCATTGAGGAAAGATACCTATGCGGGCACACTATTGGAAAAGTCGTCGATGAAGACCACGCACATTAGGGCAGACAGTCAGCAAAACAAAGAAAGAACCAGCCTCAACAATGAGCAACCTCTTGGAATCAGTCCCAACGGATGAACAGTTTTGACAAAACACAAGAAAACAAAGAGAGAGGAGAACAAAGGAAAATGAAATGAAAAACTGAAGTCATGATTAGGAGACAAAAATCATGAAAACGAAGGAGGAAACCACAGAATGAGAGCATAAGTTTGAAGAAACCTGCCCAGAAACACCCCGAGAAGAAAAGAGACAGGCAAGGACAAGGATTGAACACCAACGTTAAACCGCAACAGGAGAACAACAAGCATCCCTCCCCACAACCCCCTTGCAATTCCCGACAAAGCCCACCACCCCGGAGGTGATCAGTTTGGAATCATCATCCTAGCAGAGGAGGATGGAAAATAGATACTGAACCCATCAGCCTTTGGAGCGTAGGTGTGCAGCTGTGGGATTCACAAGGCATGGCGCCCGCTGTTGAATCACTCATGCCAGCAATCAGCTGTAAGCTTAAGGCGTCTTCATGCTCCTTCCCCCGAAGCAACAGAAGGAAACGCTCGGTCTAGGACAGGGAGCGGATCCTGTTGCAAAGATGATCTTCTCTGCTGTGCTTTGCACCGCCTTTTCCGCGGTTCTCGGCCCAGGCCGCGAGGAGGCGACCAAATTGGGATACGGAGCGAATGAAGACGACAGAAGTCGTCCGAGCTTTCTCAAGGCAACTGCAATGCATAAACGATCCTAGAAAAGATCATGGAGTTCAAGCATGGACGGGGACAAGAACGATGATTATTATTGCCTACACATCAGACTGCCTGGAGAAGCTTTCCTATGACGATGTGTGGAACTGGAGGCCCCATGGTCATCCGTCCCCACCGTCGCAGTTGCCTGAGTTCCTTTTGCGAGATACGGAATCTTGTATTGGACGCCGATGTGGCAGGAGACTCATAGACTCATTCATAGGGTTCCGCTCTTTTTCTCGCCGGAGCAGAAGCAGACTATGACCAGTCTGGTTGCTGCAAGATCTGCACCTTGGAAGAACAATCGTGTGATTGTCACCTCTTATAATCGGCAACGTGGCTCTGAGCTGCTTGCCTGGCGACCTTCGCAAAGCACGCCGAGGACCCCGTAGAGCACCTCTGGGAGGTGCAGAGCGTCGGTGCAGCGTCAAAGAGCATCCTCTCAGCTGTGGCTCCGACCGTGGCACTGCCGAGTCGGACCTCAACAGCGGGCCAAGGGCCAAGCAGGGGGCCGTACGTCACAACGTTTTGCTCTGAGGATCTGGGCTGGAAGAAAGCCTTCGTCGAATTCCAAGGACAACCTCCAGCAAACGAGTCTTGAGCCAAGGCGTCTAAAGGTCATTGTATGAAGCATGCCAGCCAAAAAGCAGGGGCTTTGCAGACGGAGCAGTGCCTGAGCATGCGAATCCAAAGCTTCCCGATGATAGATTCGGCCTCCCAGACCCGCCTAGCACGACCCGGCGTAGCTGATGCAGGCCGAAGCCTTGCCTCAAGTTGCCGCAGGCCGTTACCGCATCACATGCTGGACCAGGCTTCTCAGCTTGCTGCATGCCCAGAAACAAAGCCGGCACCTGGCGCCAGTCGAGTCGCAGGCCATCCGCCAGGTTCAGAGAGGCTTTGTGTTTTTTTGGCGAGCGGCCGAGGACTCGCAGTCCAGCACGTAGAGAGACCTGGGGGGCCAGGGCGGGGGGCAACTCGGGCGCCTGAGGAGCGGCGAGCCCAGTCTTAGGTCAAGGGGCGGCTGCGAGCTCCGATCCAGGCCTTAAAAAGGGGCAGGGTGGGGGGCGCCCTCTACACTGGGGCGAAGTGTCTTTTTGCTTTGAGAACGGGGCAGAGCTTCTTCAGGCAGAAGCACCCGGCCTCGGTGGACTGGCCGCAAATTTTCAAGAACTCGGACTCCTAAACGCTCTGGTCTCATGCCTTCGCCCCTGCTCTAAGGGCGCCCGGCAGAAGCGATCCCAACGTGTGCCTTCAGAGAACAGAGCCAGCGGAGCTCCACAAGGAGACTTCAGCAGCTGGTGAGAGCTGGTAAAACATAGCTGGTTCAGCGGCTGGAAGGCCCTCTTGCTCCAAAAGCTCCCGAACCTGGCACGATGGTCGGCCGAGAGCTCAAACAACGCGCTCCAAAGGACTCTCGCGTCGCCTCCTCCACACTCGGCTGCCGGAAGATGGAAGGCACGTCGTGGTGCTCGTCCGAAAGATGGGGGCCTCTAGGGCAGGGGAGCAGACGGCTACGGCTAAGCCCCGAAGCAGGGGGCACAGCATAGGCAGAGAGCCTTGGCCCTGATCGCCCTTGAACTCTTCCACGTGCTCCTGCGCCGGACTCTACGACTCGACGAGGCTCCTTTTGATCACGGCGCCCCCTGCCTCTACCTCCGCGATCGCGGCGTCCACTCCGGCTTCGGGCACAAAGATCCCATCCATCGTCTCGGCAAAGGCCTGGCCAGTCGAGTCTTTGGCTCATTTTGGCTCAAAGCTCCCGCACTCCACCACTGAGTCACTTGACCTGCCAGCCGTGGGCGATGCCCTTGCTTGCACCCTTCAAGCGGGACTGCCAACCATCCGCCATTGGCCTGCATAGCTGCATAGGGTCACAAGCAATTGCTCATTCCCCCAATTGACCAATCCCACCTCAGCACTGCATGATCAGGCTCACCTGAAGGCGTCACCGAAGACAAGCTCTCCACCAGCTCCTCTCGTTCTCTGAGGCCGAGATGCAAGTGCTGGCCATTGCATCCCGGGGTGGCTGCGTCAGCACCGCCGCGCACCCTTCGACTGACGACCCAGGCTCTGCACCAGGCTGCGACGGCCTGCAACGCTGTAACTAGCGAGCCATGAAGTTCCTGGGGGCTTCTTGAGGCCTCTGTGCATGACGTAGCGCTCGTGCATAGGTGTTGCCTTCCGAACACGAGGTGAGATGGGAAACATTCAAAGAACCATCCTCCGACCCTCCCCTGGCTCCACTTTCGAAGCTAAGCCGCCTGGATCGATGACAGCCCCTGGTGGATAGCTGCCCAAGCTGCGCATGTCCCGCTGAGCGGGCGCGGCGGGCACTGCCGGCTCTGCCCCCGCAGCAAAGCGCGCAAGGCCGCATGGCCCGCAAGGAACTTCGGGAACCTCTCTTTCTAGGGGTTTAGGAAGTGCATCTGCGCGCCAGGGCCTTGCCTCAAAGACAGGCTCCGACGCCGGCTCAGCCGACGCCGGCTCAGCCGGCGCCCACGCGGAGGTTCCCGGAGACTCTCTCGGGTCTGATCGCAAGGAGAGGCTCAGCGCGTCGAGCTCCTGTCTCAGAAGCCGCAGCTGCTCGGCTCCTTCGTCGGCTTTGTCGGCTCCCCCGTCGGCTCCGTCGGCTCCTTGGGAGCCTTCCTTCGCGCGGGTTTCCTCCACCTCTTCGAGGTCACAGCCTCTCCGGTCCAGCGACTGGTTCAAGGAGCTGAGCTCCTGCAGGGAAGAAAGCCAAGCTGCCCTCCTGCAGCTCTGTCCCTGGAACCGCTGACCCCGCCCCGTCACGGCCTGCATCAAGCGCTGGAGCTCGCTCGGTTCAGGCTGCACCTCAGCGCAGCCTGGACCGCAGCCGCCGCAGCCTGGGCTGTCGCCGGGCGGCCCAGCCGCTGGTCCCCTCGGACCGGTCGCAGGCGCCGTCGCGGGCGCTTGGGCGGGCGCTTGGGCTCCCGCGCCGGCGTCCAGCTCCCGCAAGATCTGCGTCAGCACGCAAGCCACGTAGCCTTTCAATTCGGTGAGGCTCAGGCCTGGCGGAGTAGAGTTCTCAAAAGAGGGACAAAGACAGAGAGACAGAATGTCAAAATGCACTGCAGTTGCCGAGTTGCTCTCACGCCGCGCCACCGAGGCATAGACTTGCGAGACTCGCTGCAAGGTCTCCGGGTGACGGCAGCCCAAGCGGTCGATCAAGCGCTGCGTGGCAGGCTGCAGCTCTGCCGTCAGAATGAAACCCCGACCTCTATCGTCGAGGTTGAGGCCCAGGACTTCCAAGACCTCGCCATCGCCGCCAGCAAAGCGACTCAGCAACTCCGCAATCCTTCTTCGCTCGAGCTGCCTTTCCCCCTCCTCCGTCCGCTCCTCCGTCCGATGCCCCAGCTCACTCCTTCGCAGTTCATCCTCCCAAGTATCCTCAGCGAGCTCACCGCCCAGCGAGCTTGTGCCACCCATCCGTTGACGAGATGCTGATCACCAAGCTCCAGAACTGTGCTGGCCTGTTTAGCGAGACATGCTGTGGTACTAGTGGCACTAGTGCCTATGCCTGCACCTCTCTGCTCGCAAAAAGCGCACCGTCTTCCACCCTCGAGCCAAGGAAGAAGCGTGCACAAGCTGCGGTATGTGCGTTTTCTGAAGGGGGGAAACCTGCGCATACCGAATCATTTCTATGACGGGAACATTGAACAATCTTTATCATCGTTTTATATCAGCATTCAGGGATGAAATACAGCATGTCCGTGCGGGTAGTTTGGCAACAAATGTAATAAGAAGCCTGGATGCAGCTGCACTGCAGAGTTGCGAAGCCTTCATCATCTGCCCTGCACGATCCCACTTCGGCATCGCAGATCTTATTTGCACTACCGTCACTGAAGAGACACGTGGCAGAACACTCACCTGTGGGCCGTCGTCCACTCAGTCGTCGGACTTCAAGCTGGGCAATCTATCAAGGACAGCCAGGCGTGTCCTTGCTAAGGGAACAGAAGAATACTGCAAGGACTTCTAGCTTACTGCCTGCAGTTGTCATGTTCCCCTGGATGTGCAGAAGAGCTGCTGGAGAAACGTCGGCTTGACTGCGAGCACCTTGCAAAAACATCCCTTATCCCCGGCTCCTGCCAGCTCTGGTCGGACTGGGTCACACGCATAGACACAGTACCCGAAGCAGTAACCGTGGATCACCGACAAGGCATAGCGCATCGCCGTGCCGCCGAACCCACCTGCAAGGCACCGGTTGGGGGAGCAAGGGAGCACGGCACGGGCGGAGAGGACGGAGCGGTGCAGAGGGCCTTTGAATATTGGAAAACTCCTCTCTTTTCAACCCTCTTGTGACGTTCTGCTTTTCTGCCCTGGCTTGAGATGCTTCAGCTCTGATCGAGACCGAGAAGAGAGTTGGATGTCTTGCCACAGGTTGAATCAGTTGAATCCTCGGCGGCCCGAGGCGGCCCGATTCCACTGCGACGCAACTGCTGTCCTCTCCCTGCTTCGCTTTGAGAGTTGTTTGGCCGGCTCCCCATAGGAAGCCTGACTGAAGCTGAAGGACACCCGACTTCAACAACTGGTTCAAGGGTCGAGACATCCGAAGGGCAAAGAAATGAATTCAACCCCTCCACCGACAAGGCTCTCGTTGAAAAGCCTCCCAAGCTCCCCCAGAATCAGAGCGGCCAATGCTGCTTCTGTGGGCCTCCTCCAGCGAAACCAACTTTGGAGGCACCGATGCTGAGCGCCATGGCCTCGAAGCGACAGTACTTCAGGGACCCCTATCCAACCCTATCGGCCCTGTCGCAAATCCGGGCTGCGCGGCCTCGACACTCAGCACAAATCTCGCGAGACTTGAGCCTACAACAGGGGGAGTTACTCACAGTTACAGTCGTCTCAGTGATTTCACCCTGGTGCGAGTGCCCCTGCAAGCGTTTGGAAGAAGCCGAAGCCACCGTGTCCGTTCTTCTTTTTCTCGGAGAAACTGCGGCCGGTCGAGAGGCGCAGGAAGGAGCGGCCGTCAGCGGTCTCGCTCCAAGAGCGCTTGCCTCAAATCAAAAGCGCAAGCGCCACAGCTTTTGCGCCGAAGCAAAAAGCAGAAGTTCTCTGATTCTCTTCTCTCCCTCTCCCCTCTCTCGAAGATTTCACCATCCTTCTGTTCCGATCTTTACATTGAGAGGGGGGAGATGCGCCTAGAGCTAGCGGGTCTACGAGTTGGAATGGTGAACCTAAGCCGCAAAGGCTTACAATGAGGGTCGAGCGTAAAGGTAAGGTGTGGCATTCCGCCTCAGACAGGACAGGGATGGGTTGGGTTTTTTGGATGCACCTGGCAAGAACATGGGGGCTTCGGCCGCGCGGATACCCCCCCAACAAAAAAGCCCAAGCCCACCCCCTTCCTTTTCCCATTTCTTCTCTCTGGGCCTCCCGGCCGCTCCCCGGGCGTAAGGTCTCCGCGCTCGGTCAAGAAGTCCGCCAACTCCGCACGGCTTTCGATCACCTTCCGAGCTGAAGGGACTGGGCCTGTGTAAGGCACAGTCTCCATCTCCCTTTGCTTTCTTGACCCCTAGGGGGCCTTCTAAATATGACTTCAAGGCCGGGGACTGCAGACATTTTGCTGCGAACCTGCGAGATTCAACATCTTCGTCTGTTGGGTTCTGCTGGTGTGCCTCTGCTGCTGGGGGCGGTGTCAATTTCTGGACTCCCTCCGTCTTTGAGTTGCCCTTGTCTGACAAGTAAGGCTTTTCCTCCGCGGCTCATTATGATTAGTCTAAAAACACATGACATGTCACGTGGTGGAGGGCAATCAGAGGAAAGGACCTGAGATGTGCCTCCTCCAACGTGGCCGCACCCTGCTCGTCGCACCACTCGTTCACCAGTCCCAACTGCTCCTAACAAGACGCACTCTCAGGATTTAAGCCAGAACTTCAGAACTCCTGCCTCGAGACAAAGGAGCAACAGCCATGTGCGCAATCCTGGCACGTGCTCAGCTGCGCGACAGTCAGTAAGGGCCCGAAGAGGCTGCGCTGCCCTTCCCGCTGCCATGGCCTGGAACAGCTTCCTTGGACCAACGGGGACGAGAGAAGCCAAGACTTCCGCGTCGACTCCCCCGGGTATTTTTAGAGCAGCTTTTGGAAGGAGGCATTTTTCTACACTGCTCGAAAACCCTGAAGGCTGAGCCGAGCACCGGGAGGGCCTCAAAGATCCTCGGCAAGGCTGGAGATGACGCTTGGCGCTTGAACAAGACCTCCTTCGAAAAATCTCACATTCATGGCATCATTCTACGAGTACGACATATGCTGGGAACTCACTGACACTCGAAAGGAGTGTGGCCGGAGTGTGGCCAGCGTGCCAAACTGCGGCTGGATGTGGCTCAACGACAACGAAGAACAGCCAAAAACCTCTAACTCATATGTCGACGAAGCGGCTTTGCTTTGGTGAAATCCGGATTGCTCAAGGCATCTTGGTCACTGGTATCCTCTGCGAAGTGTTTCTCGCCAGGCACCTCCGGAAATGCCGTCAACACACACCGTTCTTCCACATGTTTCACATGTTCTCCTCACTGCGCCCCCGCACCAGCTTGAAGCCCAAGGCTTTGCAGGGAACCAGTAGCTTGCCTTTCTCCTGGCGCCAGAAAACTGCTGCTTTCCCGGTGGGCATCTCACATGCACAAAGGCTTACCTAGTAGCCCTAGTATCGCAGGGAGCCGGGCTCTCCGTAAAGCGGCTGCGGCAGCGGAGCGGCAGCGAGCAAGCGCGTGCTCGGCCAGCCAGCAGCCGCAGGAGCCGCCTCTCTTGGCGCAAACAAACTTTGTGAGCGGGTTGCTCGCCTGCCGCATCGGATAACATAACGAAATCCCCTGTGCTTGTGGTGCCATAGAACTGAGCCATGATGCGCCATATGAAAGTCAGCATACTTGTGCTGGCATGCAAGGACATTGAGAACGCACCCTATCATGCTCCCTCAGTGCGAGTTGCCGACAGAAGTGTCCGCTACATCCTTTTAACGCCTCACGGGCAGGCATGAGGCCCGTTACCGGCTCATGTGGGTCCTAACGTGATCTGAGAGGAAGGGGCCGCCGAAAGAAACACCAACCGTGCTTTGGCTCTGAGTGCCGGGCTCCTCCGCCGCAGGGCCCTGAAAGGCGAATGGCCAATGCCCCCTTGCGCGATGCCCCGGCCCAAGTCTACTCCCGGCCTGGTCGAGGCAGTCGTGCCCTGGCACGGAACAAAAACTCCAGCGCTCCGTGTGAGTCGGATCTCCGCCCCGAGGACGCCCTCTGCTCTTCCCGCCTAGACAGATCTGGATGTCGAGGCTGCTGTCTTTGGTCCAGATGGCCAGTGCAGAGCCGGTGGTCCCAACCAAGCCGGTTACGTGAGCCTGGAGGGAAAATAGCGATAGGGCGGTGCACACATTTGGTAGAAGAAGGCTGCTCGGGGCCTCGCGGCCCACGGGTGCCACGGCGCGGAACTCCTTCTGCGTGAAGTCCGAGGCACCGACCTCTGTCAGGAACTCCAGGAGGCCCTCTTCCGACAAATCGGGAAGCGCACCGCTGGCGCCGCCTTTTTGCTCTTCCCTCCAGCTCAAGAGGACGTTCAGGCCCTGCAGCTGGCGCAGGAGGATGGGGTTGGTGTGCTTGAAGCCGCTCAAGACCCCAGCGCCCAGTCCTTGCACCAAGCAACTCACTGGCAGCGTGAACTAAAGTTGTACCCAGTTCTGCCAAGCTGCGGTCAAAGCCGGCTGAGCGTCCCAAATTCTGCTTCTGCCAGCGGCTGGCCAAGGCGAAAGCCCGCGTCAGGGCGCTCGAGGACACGAAGTCCACGACCTAGGCAGGCACGTGCCAGCAACCAGCAACCAGCAAGTCTCGTGCTTGACACATCTTTTGAGCTGTGGGGCCTTGTAAATCTCGAGCTCTTTGTCTTTCTCAGACAGCGGCTGCAGCTCCGCGGGGAACTGCGCGTAGTCCGCTTCGTAGAAAGGCCAAGCCCCGAAGGCCGGCGCGGAGCCCGTGAAGCGGCCCACGGTCGTCTCCTGCTGTACCGGGCTCAGCTCCGTGGGGTCTGCCTGCTGGCGCTGTGGTGGCCAGAGGGTGCTGGTGACGTTCATGGCTCCCACCTGGTTCGCCGCCTCCACCCGCAACTCCGGATCCTCCGCATCGAACTCGGAGGACAGCTCCAGCTTGGACTCCATGACCCCTTCGCCGCGTCGGGGAAGCTTCAGCTGGCCTTTAAGGCGTCTTTGCTTCGCCAGTCCCTTCAGCGGCACCGCAAAGACCCCCATGGCCAGAGACATCGGCTGTCGCTTCAAAGAAGGAACCTGTGCAAGAGCAAACCCTCCATAATCAAAGGCTTCCTTCCTCTGCTTAAGAAGCGCTAGTCAGTTTTCTCACTTCCTAGCCACACACCAATCGGACCTCGAACCGGCAGCGGCGAGAAGGTGCCGAGGGTGTTGCGGGCGCAAAGCCTCGCTGTCCGAGTGCATCCACGGGCACCGCCGCCATCGCCGTCGCCATTGGGCGCGGGCGGGGGGGGGGGGGGGGNNCCATCGCCGTCGCCATCGCCGTCGCCATCGCGTGCAGCGGGGGAAAGGGGGGGGGCCGCCTGTTGAACCACGCGGCTCGTCAGACAGCCTGTTGCCTTGAGCCTTCGGATTGGGTACTGCAAAAGACTACCCATCTCTGAAGCCCTTGCAGCTGTCCAGAAATTTCTGCTCCCGAAGGTCGCACAAAGGGCCGGGCCGCATGTGGTTCCCGGCAACATTAAGAAGCAGAGTGCATCGAAATGCATCGCTTCGAAGGCTTGGACCGCCCGGAGCCGCGTGGGCGAATCGCCGTGTCACAAATTTTGCGGTGCCATGGCATAGGGGCAAGCCAAACGTCGGATCGGCACTCACCTCTCCCAGTCCTCGACAGAGAACTGAGATGGAGGAGGTCAAGGACAAGCTCTGGGAAATGTGAATCTGAGAAAGCCTTATAAAGTTCGTTCGTGCGTTTGCAGAGATGCACCCGACCTTTGCACAAACTGCACACACTGCTAGGTGTGCTGTTGGGCAGTGTGAGATCCCAAGAGGAAGATTCTCTGGTGTGCCCGCACCATGGGGTGAGATTCTCTGCCGCCTGTCCTTGATTCTACATCCGTCCTCATTAAACTTGGGAAAGATGCAGCACTCAGGATCCAAAACTGAAGCCGCCTGGGTCAGAAAGGGGCACAGGAGATCCAAGCCGCCGTTTGCAGCGTCTGCGCACCTGTGGGCACCTGTGCACCAAACTGGAACTGTTGAGGATTGGAGACCTCAGCCGACCACAACACAGCTTCCGAAAACTCCGTGATGTGGACTAGCCCCTAGGAGGTGTCTGCCGCGCTTAGGTCATGTCGGAGCTCACAACAGTATCTATCCAAGCAACTCCTAGACGTGACTCGGTATGCGAGGCGGCACCACGAGATCCGAGGTCACAGCATCTTCACCGATTTCTGCATCTTCATCCTTCCGGAAAAGGGGATGTCTGTCTGCACAGGCCGATGCAAGCCTTTGATGCTCCCGTGCCTCCAGCGGGAAGTACTTCTCTAGAATCTTCATCGCCTTCTGGTACCTGGAAGTTAAGGAAAAGCTCTACTACAGCTACTACAGCTAAAGCGGCAATCCCTCATCGACTTGCATCAGCGAAGCGGTACACTTCCTCATTGGGATCCTCCTGAAGATTCTCGATCTTCGGCAAGCCGTCGGCCTGCGAACACGAAGCAAGTACGCCGACCAAGTCCATCTTCTGCGTTCATTGCGAGGGTGACAACACTACGGTACAGTAGCCTGCTCGATCTTGGCAGCAAAAGGATTCTCCGCCATGCCCAGTTTCTGCTGCTTGTCTTTGCCCACCTGCAAAGAGCCAAAGGAAGAGCTTCGAAGTACCAGAGCCCTCATGGCCCCACCGGGATGCTTACAGGGCCTTCAAGATGTTCTCCAAAGCTTCCAACGCCACGCCTGTTTTCGTCGCCCCAGGAAGGCAGACTCGGAGAAACCCAAACATTGCAGCCCTCAGGCCCCAGCCGATGATTTTGGCATCTGAAACGACCAGCAAGTCGACCTCAGTCATTCCATATCCCGGCAAAGGTGTGAACTTTTTCCGGCTTTTCTTCTTCGCTGCTGCAAGTGTGCAAGATTTGAAGCTGTTTCGAGTCATCTAGGCCCACTACTACTACGACGACTACTACTAAGACTACTGGCTCCGATGCTGCTGCTGCCGCCGCTGCCGCCCCGCTTCCGCGTCTCCTGCGTCTCCCGCTCCGACCCCTACCACTACCCCTACCCTCCTACTCCGTACATCAGTCTATGTCATTCGAACCTCCATTCATACATTCGTGGCGTCCAAAACTGTTTTCGGCAGAGTTGGCCCCGACATCCGCCGGTTGAGACGATGGCTCAACTTGGTCCTCGCCCGAGCGATTGCCATCATGCGCAGGCGCAAGGAACAACAGATCGAATGCTCCAACGAAATGCGGCGCAACGCATGAGCAGCCGGGGCATGGGAGTGCAGCACGCTTCGTGACCAACTCCAGGATCAGATCAGGAGGACGATAGCGAGCTCTAGTGAAGAAGGACTCAAGCCACGTAGGATGAAATCAAGCCAATCCAACCCCGACACGATCCGACACGCTGTTGTTCACAACTGCCCCAAAAGCCTGCCCCAGCATACATCTGTAACCCGAGCGCTTACTCTCAATCTCTTCTTGATTACCTGGGTGTGCGGCCAAAGGCTTGATACACTGCATCTCCACCAGGTATTCCACCTTGCCGAATGTTTTTGCCGTGGAAGATCCGGAGCACAAAGTCACACACAAAAAAGCGATGGTGACCCTCAGCCGCGGCCCAGCCTGCTGTGGAGATCCACCCGAGGTCGCGTTGCTGATCGCCCAGGCTGCCTCCCATTTCTCTCCCGTTCTCGCTTGTGCTGTCTGTCCTCTCCGTGACAACAGGCCTCTTTCTTGATGTCAAAATCGGCCGTCTGCAACAGGTGGATGACCTCATGTCGGCAAAGTCTTCTTGACCGGACAGGACAGATAAGTGCATCCTGCCGTCGATGACGCCGAGCAGCCGGTGGGAGCAGGCCGTTGTTGATAACCTCGTGGCGGCATGACACTCTTCGCACTCTTTCAGCTGCTGCGTCGAACGCACCGAAAGCACCACATGCCTCCTGAATCTGCTCGCGATTCCCGGCTGTGATGTTGGAGATTGTCCAGCAGCTCTCTTTTCTAATTGCCTGTTGTGATTTGGTGGGAAGGCAGGCAAGCTGATTGAAGGCAGCCGATTTGAAAAGGTGCCTTCTTTGCATGGGAGAGAAGCTTGAGGAGCGACGGCAAGGCCCCGCTCTGCAGGATCACCTAAACTGAAGAGAGGATGGACGGATCTCTGCTGGTGCCTCAGAAGAGATGATGGCCGAGCCTGGGTCTGGTTGTCGTCGCCGGTCACGATGTTCCCCACAGCCCGCAACGCGGGCGTCTGCACCAGTGGGGACGTATGGAGCCTCGTGACAGCGTGACAGGGCTTGGATTCGAGGAGGCACGTGCGCGCGTCTTGGGCAGAAGCAGCAGCTCCACAAGCCGACGGCAAACGCCAGCCTGAAGACAACTAACGCTGCGCTGCAGTGTTTTGTTGTGCTCTCTGCTCTCTCCCCTCCTGGATGACGGCTGTGATTCGCTCGTTGGGGCCGTCCGACAAGTAGGAGAGGGCCCAGCAGGCATCGGTCAGGACCTGTTTCCAAACTTCTACGGCCGCCTGACTGTATTATACTGATCACTGATGGTGTCATACCTCGCAGTCGCAGGAGTAGATAAGGTTCGCTAAAGTGCCCAGTGCCGGCGACACCTTCAGAGACACACCGCTCGGCACCCGCACCCGATCGAACGTCCAAGTGCCGTGCCCACTCGAAGGGTGGCGGAGGCTTGCCGCGGCAAAGATTTGACAGTGTCCATGTAGCATTTCGCATCATCGATGTTTTCTCCGACCTAACTCAACGTGTTGCCCGGCACCTTCCTACATCATGTCGTGACCTACGTGATTCCCCTGCAGTCCAAGGATCTCTCGCAGGACAGTCATTACGGGGTGAAGGCCTGGAGAGGCGAATCGCGTGCAGTGCAGAGCAGTGCAATTGCCCCCCCCCTGCCTCCGCTCTGCAGGACCAGATCTCTAAAGTTGGGCGAATCGCCGGCGATGTTGCCCAACGCCTAAGGAACGCCGAGCTTGCTACCACAAAGTGGACGCCAAAGCGCTCAGTAACGCACCCAAACTGCTTGCTCGCGAACATCGTCGTTCGGAGACTGACAATGCACGGAACACTCCCTCAAGACTAAGACACACATGACGTCACATGACAGACATGGCAAGCAGCATGTTACACACCGCGAGGTAGCACCTTCTTTTGGAGCGACGGCTTGAAAATTCGCAGGCGCGACTGCTTAGCAGCCCGGCCAAGGATCGGGTCTTCAGGCGGAGTTTTGCCGATGCAACCAGGAGGACAGCGGACCTCTCCACTGCCTCCCGTCACGCATCTCAGCTGAGTGCCTATAACTGCCTTTTTTGTTCAGCCAGAGGCCATCTTTTGGCCCTTGAAAATAAGATAAGAAAGGTAAGAGCTAATTGGGTTTTTCGTCACAGTCGCAGGACCGGCAGGGCCGGGCCGGCCTGGCCGCCCTGCCAAGCTGGCAGGGTCGACCCCTGGGGTGCACTTGTCGCCCCCGGGCCCGGGCCCGCCCGTCTCGTTTGAGCTTCGCGGAACTTAGCACGCTGAACACAAAGGAGCTGCTGCTGCTGCCGCTGCTGGTCCTGCACCTGCTGCCGATGCCTCAGACTTGAAAAGGGCCGTTTAGTTTCACCTCTGGGACTCTAGGCCGAAGCAGAGCGGGTGCGCCTCAAATGGCGGCTGGCCACTGCTGCAAGCCCCTTGGCTTGCAAAGTCCACCTGCCCAGCACCACAGCTGCAGGACAGGACACTGCTCCCTCCCCTTTTCCCCGCCCCTGGTCGAGGAGGCTTTGGATCTTCTGGTCGTAGAGCACTCGCAGCTCCTGCACAAAGCGTTATTCAAAATGCTAGGTAATTTTCGCTGCAATCAGTATGGATCCTGCAAATGTCTTCGATGAAGCTCCGCCAGGTCCTTCAACAAAGCGTTTTCAGATTGGCAGAGGATCCGACTCGGGCGAAAAAGACTGGTCGGCCTGCATCAGCTGCATGTCAGCCTCGTGCAAGCAGGCAGACAGCCTCTGCAGCATCCAGACCTCCTCGTTCGACAACGCCATCGCAGCCAAGTTCGAGCGGTGCCCGAAGTCGATTTCTGAGTGCTCTGTCTCTGTTGCCACGTCCAACCACGACAGAGCCGTGTTTTGAAGGGCTTGCCGCTCTTGCTCCAACGGCGGCTGCAGAAAGCTAAGTGGGCCCTCACCCGCCCCTTCTGCACATCCAGCGCTTACACCGCCCGGGCCCAGCATCGCGTGTAACGTCTTTCAAAATTCTGGGGCGAGCTCAAGTATCTGAGCCCAAACACCAGCTGCATCTGTAGCGTTGGCTCTAGAATCTAAGAATCTAGATTCAGTGGATCAGTTGGAAAAAGCACTACCGTTGCTGCGCACTCACTGCGGCCTGCAAGAGCTGCACGAAGATCGGCAGCGCACCCTCCGGATCATGCGCGGTGGTGTTGTGCCAAGGTCAAGACTAACCACAATTGACAGCACCTGCTCCACGACCACGCGGGTCTGGTCTGCATTTCCGGAGGCGATGTTGGTGAGCACCTGACAAGGGATCTGCTTAAGCAAGCGTCAGCCAGAGCTGTCACTAGGAGCTGCACCCATGCGGCTTCAAACTGCAGGTCTGGCCGATTGATTTCCTTCAGGAACCTAGCGCAGGGAGCACATTGGAGCTCAATTTAACAACAGACGGCTGAGGTGAAGGCTGGACGAAACGTGGCACCACACCTGCATTGATCACCTCCGAAAGGAAGAGAAGGGGAAGGGAAACACGGCCGTCATGCCCCTCGCCTCCGAGATGGGCGGGTTCTGCTCGATACTGAGCAGCTTCCGGAATTGCTGGGTGGCATTGAACTGTGCCTCCAACTTTCAAGACAACAGCACTCCAGATGGAACTTCCTCTCTTGGCCTGGCCTGGGGATCGTCCGATAGCAATGCTTGGCTCAGAGCCGGGATCTGCTCCACGGCACAATTGCTGGGAACTGTCGCCATACCTGGGACGACAAAACAAAAAACGAATAGGACCGGTCAGTCTAGTTTCATGGGCCCCTGGCGTTCACCCATTTGTGCCAAGGCCATCGGGTCAGTTGTTTGGCCGGCCGCGGGGATGTCGTTGACCATCCTTTTCTTCATCAGCGCCTATCGCAGCACGTTGTTTGAACACGGATTTGATGAACTGAACTCCACCTCGTCCCTGGTTTGCTTGCGAAGCTGGACAGCCGCATCTTCTCGCTTCCGCCGTGCATCATCTGCATCAACCCCCTTTTTGAAGGCCTGGCACCAGAACTCTTGGATGCTGTGTAAAAAGCACTCCTTGGGCGCCTTTTGCCGCTGGCTGAGTCTCTCTCCGAAACCCGACATGGTGGCCGGGATGACTAAGAACAGCCTCGAGAATGCGGGGAACGAGCCCTTCAAGTTTCTAACGAAACATTCCGCCGCTTGCTCTTTGCTATCGAGGTCGGAGCGGAAAGAACGCTGCACACGGCCGAAGCGCAGAGCCAAAAGAGAAACCGAGCGAAGGCCCACGCCTCGAACGAACCTGTGGCAACACATGCATTTTGCCTTAGGCCCGCGAATGCGAGGCTTTAGGCGATCATTGGTGCGGGCCAAAGTCGGGTGCATTGACTGTATTGACATGAGACTGAGCTGCTGAACGGTAGGTGTATTGTTTCGTCCCGAACGAAAAACGTGTTGCGAAATCAAACCGAACAAAACAAACTAAAATGTGATGCATCTATAGTCTATAGCTTCCGGTTGCATTCAATCCAATAGCAGCTGTTTAGAAGCCAAGGGTGTTTTCCCTCCATCCCCCCTAATTTCCAGCTGCGAATGCAAATATGTTAAAACCGTACACAGCAAAAGACGCCTTGGAGCAAAAAAACATGACGCAAAATTGATTAAGATACGAATGTTTTTGCCTGTTTTGCGACATGATACCGCTACTAAACTACCTTGCAGGTCAAAATCCCACGGAATTGTTGTGACTGCAAAACATCGTGGAACTTGATTCGGAGCAAAAGGCGAGGGTTGGCTGACGGGTGCCCAAGTCATGCCTTGGCCGAAAGCAAGGAAAACACCACAATTTCTACAAGGGTTTTCAAACAAGCTCGGAAACACGAACTTTGCAGCCTGTAATGTCATTGAGTGTAATGACAAATGCAGCAGGGCTGGATTACGCAACTCCAAAGCAGTGAATGCAAAAGCAAAAAGAATACTGGAAGGAAACACAGTCTCCACATGTACTGAAATGGGGCTCATGATAAAAACTGCAAAACATCAAATTACATATGGACCTCCTGCTAAATACTTGATGATGTATGGCTTCCTGGGGTGCTGTATCCTTCAGTGCGAATAGCCGAACATGTTTGCTTGTCAAGTCTGATTTGACTCAAGGAGCAAGGACCTATGTGCACAGATGCTAGGTCAGCTCTTGATCTGAAACGCTCGAATGTATAGTGTTGGAGCAGTCCATCATGAAGGGTAGTCTTCATGTGCACAGATGCTGGAGACACTTTCTGATCTTGACAGTTTCGTTTGCTGTTAAAAGGTGTGAGGCCGAAATTCGATGCCCATGGCCCAATCCGCTTGATACATTCCTGCCCTACGACGACAGTTTTTTCAACCTGGATGTATCATCAGACTCAGGAGGTTAACCCTCCACAGGTTATGAGCGCCCAATCTGCTCTTATCGAGGCGGATGTAAGCGGCCGGGCGACAGCGAGACCAGCGTATGGCGGCACCGCTGAATCTGGTGGAGCTGGAGGATGTGGGTGTGGAACAGCAGTTGCTGGTGGAATTGCTCCTAGGGAGCCTCAACAGCTCAATGGCGCGGGAGCTGTCGGTCCGCATTTGACATCGGATCAACAGCTCCCCTGCATTCCGAGCGTACAGCACGGCCGAGGATGGGAGAAATGGGACAGTTGCCAGGTGGTGGTCTGGGGGCTATTCCTGTTGGAAGTCTATCTGGGAGCGCGAGTGATGTCCGAGGAGGAGCCACAACCGGAGCGGGTCACGCGACTGTTACCGGACTGGGCGCGACGTCACGACGTGTTCAGGGTAGTTCAGGGTTGGATCTAGGATCGCAGCCACAACAGCAGCAGCCTGGAACACAACAGCAACAGCCTCTACCCGTGCAACAGCAGCAGCCTGGAGCACCACAGCCACAGCATCTACCCGTGCAACAGCAGCAGCCTGGAGCACCACAGCCACCGCATCTACCCGTGCAACAGCAGCAGTCTGGAGGGTCCCAACAACAAGCCCGAACGGTGCAGCCGCAGCAAGGCCGGAGTTCGAGCGCTACAAGACCACTTCCTGTGACCACATCGACTACAACTTCAGCTCCTGCTCCTCCAGCGATGGAGGTGGGTCAGGGCAGTGTGGTTGCCGAGGGTGCGGTTGCCTTGGGAGGTCAAGCTACTACAAGGGAAGCTCAAGTGGCAATGGCACAGTTGACTGAGCAGCGTGGAGCCCTGATCAGTGCACTACATGTAAGGGCGGCCCGGATGCTGAACTCAGGAGGCGACCAGGGCGGTGGCGAGGCCGGTTTGGTTCCTGAAGGTGATCACCAGGAGTCAGCTGCGGACCATGTGTTTTGGTTTGCAAGGCTTCGGGGGATGATTCAAAGGGGCTTGGCACCTGTCACGGAGCGGTGGATGCAATCAATGCCTGTAGCGTCCCCTGTATCCTGGCACTCTCAGTCACCCTTGGCGCAGACCCCTCGAGGCACACCGGCTGTGGAACATCAGCAAGGGCAAGCTACGCCGGGCTGGACTGCAACGGCGCGACAACAACCGGGACAGTTGACCGAGGGACCAGGTGACCAGTCCTCGACGGATTCTATTCCGGCAGAGATGGTGCAAGATGAAGTTCGGCGGCAGGTCCAGGTGGCGATGCAGAACCGGGACAGCCGCAACAATGCTTTGCAGATGGAAAATCAGGAGCTCCGGCAGCTCTTGATGGAGATGATCGAAGCAAGCCAAGCCCGGAGGGGAGTTGGAGAAGGAACTGCTGGGCCCGGCAGCCTTCTGGACAAGGGGAATCTTCGGGTGCTTATTCCGGCAAGGGACCAGGGGGAGAACCACCCGTCCTACCTGTTCAAGGTCGTGGTGCAGTACGGGCTCCCCCTGGCCTTGAGCAACATGATGCTGTGCGAGGTCAAGTTCCCCTCTTGTCGAACTGTGCAGGTGGTGGCGGTGAAAATGCCACAGGGAAGCCGTGGGGTGATGAGAGGACTTCTCTACCAGCTGGAGGTGACGGACCGTCCAGGGGCAGACTCGGCAGCAGCGATGGAGAGGTCGGAGATCATGGAGGCGAGGACTCCATGGGTCTATTGGCCAAGGGCATTCAGCAACTTCAACAACTTCAACTTCGACGTGAAGGACCCGAACCCGAGTTGCTGAAGGGAAGTTTGGAGCTCCCCAAACTGCCAGAGCCCTACCAGGACACGAGTGCGGTGGCCTTCCTGGAGTGGAACTACGAAACGGGCCAGGTCATTGGCTCCATAACGGACAAGGCCGGTGTGTGGTGGGCAACGACACAGGAGCTGGTGATGGAGGCATACCAACGCTACCAGGTGGAGACTCCCTTGAAGCGCCTGGAGATGAAGCCGGGCACGAATGCGGAGCTGGAAGATGGACGATGGAGCCGCTTGGACAAGCGTGTAATGGCCCTCCTTCTCCCAGCGATGACGGCCAATGTCAAACAGAAAATCCTGATGCTGCGCCTCGCGACGGTCAAGGATGTGCTCTTCAAGCTCTACACAACACGGATGTGAGGTTGAAGCCCCTCAACACCTACTTCGAGTACGGCGTCACCGAAAGGGAAGGGAGCTGGGCAACCTCAAACCCTGCAAATTTTGGCTGTCGGATGAGGTTGCCAAAGAGCCTCATGCAAATATGCCCACCAGTTCGCCAACAAGGAGGAAAAGAAGGCCAGATGTTGGACATGTGGGGCGAAGAACCACCGCCAGAGCGAGTGCCCTTGGAAGGAACCACCCAGACGTCATCTACAACCACGCCGCAAGTTGCCTCCTTGGGGCTCCGACGACCCCGAATGGGACTATGGCCCCACCGGTTCCAACGATGGTCTCTGGAGGGACAGCCTTGACTTCGGCCGTTAAAAACCTAGAAAGCCTACAGACATTTTCAGGGCCTCAAGTAAACCTGTCA